CACATTGGCCTCCTCTCTGGCCCAGGCCACGGCTTGAACTGTACTCCTTGCCTATTTTGTTATTCCAAAGATGATTGATATATTGCCCGTGATGAATAGCCATTCAGCTCAGTATTTACCCGTGGAATTCAGCCACCTCTTCCCCGAAACCTTACACCCAAAAAAAGGAATAAAAGGTCGCAAAAAACCTGCGGCCCCAACAAGGCGAGGCCTAGACATAGTGACCACACGAGGTGCGCGCATTCATCTATATCTCCCTTCTTTGTAACATCCGAGGCCGACTTGATTTAATCCCCCATCGCGGTATCGGACGCTGGGTACACTCCGGAAACTCATCGGATGGCTTTTTCTCCATGATCAAGGATTAGTGATGAGAAGGGCTTCTACCCTGACATCTGATCGCGAAAGCGATTGGGAATCCTCATCGAAGTGACGACTTTGTAACCCAATCTCGGCTCTACAGACTCTACAGTGAGAACTGAAGGTATGTAGATGACACCATTGACAGGTATTAAAAATAGACCCCCGTCTGGACGATAACATATGGACAAAAGATGATGAAGTGAAGAAGACTTGATGATTTACATCTATGGAAACAATTGAGTTAAATATAATTCTATGTGGTGAATCCCCATTGGTCTTGTGTGTTTATCATATTTAGTAATGAACAAACCACCTCTCATGTACCTTGATAAGCCAAGGCACGGAGGGCAAGGCTGAACACCTGTACGCGGTATCCTCTTCGAGCCCGGGAATGAAATATTCTCCCAGAGCCAAGTTCAGTCAGATTAGATTAGATTAGATTTGTATTATAGTCCTAACTGAGTCAATGACTATTGAGGACTCCTAGAATCTACAAATAAGATACTAGCTACATGTTGTAAGTTCCTACTTATTAACTTTATGCTGTGCTCTTATGGATAGTGAGGGACACGCCCTGTATATCAAGTTCAGTCAAATTTCGCTATATCAAAGAAGTTGGCCCACGAGGCAACGATTGAAATTACTCCTCCACGTCAGATTTTCACTCCCAACGAGTTTGACTCCTACCTAAGCCTCGTCAAATCTACAAGTACGACCAATTACATCCTCATCCCAATGAATACACCTCCTGTCGACTATTCTCTGGCCTCAGCTGGTCGCCAAATACACGCCCATGCTGATATGTATATACCCGCCGGAGGAAACAAGGCGTAGCACACAAATCTGAGAGACAGTTCTTTGGGATGGACGTGAGAGGGATCAGGACAAGTTTACAAGACGATGCGATAGAAGGATATTACCTCAAAGGGCGTGAAATTCCGAATTTTGGCAAGAGTTTTACGAATTGAGATTTGTGCGCGCTAAGACTTCGCTTGCGTGAGTGCAGCTGACATTATAAAGACAAGTCAACGATGGGAGGTGTAGTGGTCCGCCTCCTAGCGGTTTTCTCTGGTATAGTTTGAGTAGCCTGGGCACCTACTCCACTTGGGAAGGAGACATCTCAGATTACATTTCGCGCGGAGAAAATTTGATGGATGACGGAGGCATGTCTGGATAACTCAGGGGTTTTGAGACGTTCCCCTGGGTGGGTATTCACGGAGGAGGGTCGACTGTTTGTATAAGCGAACAAACCTCATACTGGTTTTTGCAAATGAAATCCAGAGTATGAGTGTCTCTAACGTCAAAAGAGTCATCCAACATGTATACATAGCACCGGTCATTTGTCATAGCTAGATAGCTGAGTATACATCAAATGACGTAAAAAAAGTCAATGATAAAGGTGCCATGGTCCACCTCCTGGTGATTTTCACTGGGATAGTTTGAGTGGTCTGGGTATCTACTCCGCTCTGGAATAAGAAACCTGAGATCACATTTCGTGCGGAGAAAAGCTCATGGATCATTGAGGCACGTCTGGATAAATGAGGATTTTGGAGACGTTTTCCGGGATGGGTATTCACGGATGAAGGTTGATTTGGGGTAAAGAAAAAGCCTCCATAACTTCGCAGTGGTACTTGCAAATGAAATCCGAGGCATGAGTGCTCTTCATATTGAGTGATCTATTTTGTACTTTTGTTTGTTTGTTCATTAACGTGCTCAAAAATTGGCATCCTCCGTACTGCTATGGGAGCTTGAGGACGATTGAGTCCGGGCTGGATGAGGTAAACTACCATATAAGCACAATAAACTTCGTCTCACCCAAATGACCGAATCACCTCAGACCTTACCTATTTGTTGAATCATACCAAGTCCGACCAGAAATCCGCTGTATGTACGCCAGATTGCAAATTCCTCCTCAGTCTCGGCCACCACGCCTCTGAACCCTTGATATCCTCATTGACTCCGAAATGTAAATGTCGTCCAAGATCTCATCCTTGCGCTAGTTTTGCGCCTTCATATCGATCCGTTGGTTTGTTGTCGTCGTTGGGGATATATTAGAAATTGTCGAGGATCTCTAGGAGGAAATTCTCGAAGAATAAGTATACAATTTCGGACAAGGCTTTGTCGATAGTTGTATAGGATATCGAACTCTCTTCTCAATCTGAATCAATAAGTAATGTTCCATTAACTTAGTTCAACATATACAAATAAGTCTATCATTTAATACTAATTCCCAAGGCTTTAGTGATTTCAAACTCCCAGTGATCTGGCAATAACCAGCCACTCAATTATGAAAAGGTAGAACTTTCCATCCAAGCTTAATCATGCGCAATTAAATCAATACAATTGATCTTGATGATCATACCTAGAGATGTAAACCTCTATATTTACTGAGTCTAGATTTTGAACAGGATCTGAACTCTTGCTCAAAAGAATAATCCTCTCAGTGTATGTTCCTCTTCTTTACACGTCTCGTTTCCATCATGACTTTCCTCGTTAGAGCATGTGTAGGTAGGTGATGTGACGAGTGTGGAGGTTGGTCGTAGGTGTAGGATGGACTGAGAAATGCTTTATCGTAAATACATAAGGAGTTCAAGAGATGTCAGGTGCCTGGATAAGACCGACAGATAGACCTAGGTCTATCCGTGAATCGTATGTTGGTAGTGATGAGCTTCAATATGACTTTGTTACGGCTGTGAAATCTTTGTCGACTGATCTTTCGACCAAAATTCCAATTACAACTCCTTTAAGCCGACAATCTAATAGTTAAAATTTATCCCACCGTTGTTCATGACCGAATCTCGGCTCTGGGTAATTACTGACTCCCAGGCTCATAGAGGACGCCACTGACAGGTCTTCAGCCTTCGTCCTCCTCTTTACTGTACTTTTTGTCTAATGTTGTGTCATAGCTAGCTAGCTTCATATGCAGTTAAAATCTGATGCAAAAAAAGAGTTGGCTGAGAAGATCATTCTCCCTCACTATGCTAGGCTCGTCCTTCATAACTGTGCGGGTTAAATGCGAGCGAAGGTGTTCGTCTCGTCACAAACGTGAGATTTCTGGGCTTTTTACAGTCTGTTGCTGCACTTGATGTCGCATTAGAGTGACGGAAGCGATGATTAAGCTTGGAGATGACGCATTCGTAAAAGGATGTCCACGTTCGGCAAAGCAAGAGTTTGGCACTATGGAAAGTGTCTTGCCGCATAGTTGGCTAATAATAGCTCTCCGGCCGCGTGATCCACGTGGGTCGCGTCTATGCGTGCTGAGGCCGCTCGTACGCACGGCGGAGAATCGACCAACTATCCCGTTTCCGTCGCCTGTTGAGCCTGAGATCCTCGCCGCCCGACCCTACCAGGGTCTCGCGCACGGCCATGTGCGCAGAAAGTTTCTGTGGCCGCTGACGCCGCCTCTCGGCAACTGTTCCTGAAATATGGTGAAGCATGGGACTGGCAAAAGCCAAGCCCTTGCCCGGGCCGTGGCTCTCGAGCCTAGCCGCTCGCTGGCTAAGCCCTATGGCCGGTCCCGGAGAAGGCTCAAAATTTCTGGCACGCCTCGAGCTTTCGAGTCGCTGCGCCCAAGCTACCCGGGCCGGCTGCTTAAAGCGCAGAGATAACTCGTCTCCAGCCCTCACTATCCGAGCCATGAGGCCGATATCGTGAGTACCGTGCCAGTCGGGCCCAGTACATCTGTCCAGTGGCCGCGCACCCCAGACTTATCCGTTTCCATTGAGCATTCTAAGTCACATGATCGCTTCTCCTGCCCGCGCGGCCCGAGGCGTGCCGATCTATCCTTTCCACATGACCTTTCGGCCAACAGCCACTCGGTACAGCCTGAGCCAAGCTGCGATGCTTGTGGCCCAGGGGCTGAGTTCACGACGAACAAGCTTCGCCCAATGGCCGCCCAGATCTGCCTTACTGTGCGGCGCGTCGTATCAGGATCGTCAAGCGGTATGACGTACCCGCCAATATGTCTCACGTGATTATATTATGACTATTTGATAGGCTACATGCATGGTTTTGGAGAAGATGTGCGCACGAGTTGTGCATGGCACCCATAATTTCCTGACCCCACATAATAGAGGGGAAGGTGGTGTTAGATCCGTCGTCGTTGCAGCTGCCAGCCCGGTACGTTATGAAGTACAATGCGTTATTACTCATACACCCGTTATACAATGTTACTCTCAACAAAAGAAATGGAAAGACTGTAACTTGCCACAGCTGTAAATGTTTACTCGAACAAAGCGGAGTGGGGTACACGTGGCCATAGCGTCAGATCATTTAGACGAACGTAGATCAATCAAACTAAGCGAGTTCTTAGGCAATGTTGCGGTCCTAGCGTAACTCGATTGATGGTATTCGTATTAAAAAGTAATTCTCAACTGACCCCTACCAAACAAAAAAACAAGCTTTCTAATTAGGCCTTCAACATACCAAAGTTGAATGAGGTCTAGTCTAGTCAAAAATTGAGCCCAAATATGGCATCCAAGTACAGTGAGCCCCGCTCCCGTGCGTCGCGAAGCCTTTTGACACGACACATCAACCAAAGATAAACGACTCTAAACACCCAAACATAAAAATAAGACATTAAAACACCCCTCCGGATAACTATGAGTTTTAAAGATTGGACAAATTAGAGTAGCTCTTCATGAATTGATTTTTTCCCACATGCGACGAACGGTGCCCCAATACCTGTTCGCGTCAACCATGAGATGCCCGGCGTGGCCACTTTCTGTAAATTTTTCGTACATGACTTGATAACCCGTCTCTTCAGCTTCGTGCGCATGCTCTTCAACATCATTCCAGTCGACAATGGGGTCGCTCTCGCTGTATATGTAAAGTCGAGGAGTTTGTACGTCGAATAGTTCGGGGTTGTTAAATTCTATGCGTCCTTCAGCCACACCGTCTAACATGTTGAACAGTTTGTATATGCCACAGTAAATTCCGAATAGGAAATAGATTAGAGCGTAACCGAGAAAGATTAAAATAAAATTATTTGGGATGACGACTCCGAAAGCCTTAACACTTGCACTCCATGTTGCCTTGCCTGGAGCACTGTCAAGCACAATGGCGCTAATCGGCAGCAAGCGACCGGTAAACTCTTTGAAAAGCCGTGCAATGTAAACGCTCGTCATAATACCACCGTTCGACATAGTGTGCATGAGGACTTTTTCATAGGGTTGCAGCCCGTAAAGAATATCTAATATCGGCTGTACACGACCAACTCCCCCAGAAATACAATCTATAGGGAACATGTCCCATGGTGTTGTCGTGATAGCAATGATGCGTGCGTGTGGGTAGAGAGCACTATATCCTGCTGAATACTTCGAAATGTGTCGCGGTGTTGCTGCCATCCATCCAGCGAGAAGAATCACACTGGGCGCGCCTGTTGGTGTGCTTGGCTGTTTTTCGGGGACATAGTACCAAATACTGCGATTGAGGCGCTGATATTTTGCCAAATCAAAGGGTGCACTCGGTTGTGGGCTGGGGCTGGCACGGCGCGTTTTTTCTTCGACCTTTGCGACGGACATGGTTTTCGATGCTGATCAGGTCAGAAGCAAGTGTCGACGAACAATTGTTGAATGATCAGTACGGAGGGCGAGCGAAAGAGTGAGCGGAGAAGGGGGCGAGAAGAGTAGAGGAATAGACAACGATTGGTAAGTTGGTGGAGTCTTGCTGTAGGACTGGAAGCGGTGGATGGAGGGGAGGCAGGAGAGATGTATGTATAAGGGGGGGGCCAAATGAAGGGGGGATGGCGGCTTTCAAATGGGAAGGATGGAGAAGAGGGAGAATAAGATGGACGTGAGAAGGCGGCAGGGGCCAAGATCACTTGACGTCAAAAGTGCAAAGACAAAAATCGTCGAGGCTGTTGATCCGGGATGAGATACGTCATTACATAATGACAAAGAAAGGAGAGGGAAGGGGAATGGAAAGGAAGGGAAGAAAGCGCAGGGACCCATACCCTAGCTGGCGCCAACCTGCACCAGCCTGCTCGTCGCAAGGTCCCCCAGTATTGGCTCCAGGGTCGGCAGAAGAAACATGCCGGATCGCCCCCGATGCGGCCAAGAGAGATGATGAGGGAGAGGGAAATGCTCGCTCACTCCCCCATCAACAGCCAATCAACAGTTCTCTGAAACCACCTTCACACCCCTCCCCCAGTCCGCAAATCATCTATGCTGTTTCTTCGGGTCTGGCAGGACCGCGGCAAGAGGTCCAAGGAGTCTGAGCCTCTTGAGTCTGCCCGTAACCAGCATTTGCGAACAACGTGCTCGACTACCTCTCGGCCCTGATCTGAAGAGACAGAGCGGCCATAAACTGGCTGGAAAAACTGCAGGTTAGCAACGCTGTGGCAAATTTAGGTCGTCTCTGCCGAAGACAAGGCAGGATGATTCAGCTGAATGGCAAGAAAGACAGCATTGCGTACCACAGCACCAGTCCTGGTAGGGCCTTCGCGTTGACAAGAAAGGCGTGCTGCTCGTCATAGCACCAGTTTTCCTATGCCCAGTTGGCCGTAACTTTCGGCATTAGGTTAAGAGGTTCGGAGACGGTAGTCGAGGGTGCGAGAGCGTGTGCGTTGTAAAGGTGTTTGGGTGGAAGAAGCACTAAGGCTGCTGCAGTCGTCAATATCAACCGTTGACACCAGCCAGCCATCTATTCGCTGCCTCTTCTCCCAACTCATTCCCCAGCAAAAGTATTATTCTTCCAGTCCTCCTCGACCCTAGCCATATGCCCCATGAAGCAATATCTTCCGTCAAATCTGACATGCGGAGAAATTACACCTCTTCCGGACGTCTGAGCCCAGCCACTGGAGTAGATACGGGTGTCATGTGATTCCTCGGCAGGACCCATAAACTCCTGTGATGGCCCCATTCTCGCAAATAGATTGTTGAGTAATCAGAGGCGGCTTGAGCCCGGCGACGACCTTCTTGTTTAGGGACTCCTCTCTACAAGGTCACAGTGAATGCCGCGTGTGCTCAGATGGCCCCTGGGGAAACGGGATCATTCACATAAAAATACCCTTGTCAGCGACAACATAGACGCACCATCTGAACCAAGTCGATCACCCCTTGGCACCCCACCCACCCTGATTAGTCCTTATTCCAACGCTAGTGACACGGAATCTGAGAAACCACCAAGTCGACAACGCTCCTGTGCCAAAAGTGACCAAGTTCTGCTGCTTCCACGAACCTGGCGCTGCAGAACCTCTGGCCATCCGTTCTTAAACTTTGGTGGTTTGTGAGCGAGTGTAAGCGTAAGCAGGCGACACGGAAGAAACCTTCTTCCTCCCCTCATCCGGAATGATGAGAGTAGCGCAGTATCAGTGAGACACTAATGAAAGAAGACGGGGCAAGAGGTCGGGGCGACTGGGTGTGTCCAACTGGCGCACTGCATCCAGGACATGCTAGCGGTGCGGAAAAGGCCCCAGTATCCATCCCAAAGACACCTCTCTGGAAATAGCATACGCGTCGAAAGCATGACACAAGGCAGCCATCGTCAAGGTTTGCTCATGGACACAACCGACGCCGTTTCCAAGAGCCATGCCGCCGGAAATGGCTCTCCTAGCGCTCCAAGTCGCCCGCTCCGAAATACGGGCGGACGTATCAGCTGCCCGCATATGGTCAGGACGCGATGCCATTATCCGAAGACGCACAGGGCACCAGATTCGGCCATAATCCAATCCTTAGCTGGATTCATGATCACCTTCATGACGTTACCAGCCCTGGAACCCACAGCTACGTCGGGTGGCCGTTGGCTTACCCACGCTGATAAAGTCCTGATAGCGATAGTTTGAAATTTGGTATGATAATCCAAGTAATAAAAGCGAACCAAATGTCATTAAGTTGACCCGGTTCAAATTTTGCTTATGGTCAAGGGCATGGAGCTCCGTTGCTCTGCGAAAGCTTGGTTAATATCACACTGTGAGCCTGAATCCCGGTGTTTGTTTGTTACCTTGCAAAATTTCGAATCGGTTGACACCTCACAATGTTGAAAATGTCACCCGTCATGAAGAATACAATTCTTCACGTAGAGCTACAACTTTGCTACCCCTAAATGCTCGATCGTGCACGCTGCATCAGCCGCCACAGATTTCACTAACGCCTGGCGCCAAATCAAGACACTCCCTTGGCCAAGGTGTTCATTGTTGGTCGGGCCTTGCTCCGATTCTAGTCTTCATTTTAGCCATCACAAATTCCTTGGCGTGAATTTAGGAGAATCGATGATCAAATTCTCGCTCACTCTTGGTCGGTAGATTAGCTTCAGGTCTCTCCAGGGCATCCCACAAGTACGCTTAGCTTTCCTTCAGTTGCCCTTCCATAAATTTGAGACGAAGGGTTCCTGGGTAGACCACGCTAAAAAGGTCTTTGACATATATTTTTGGCACAAGGTGACCTATCGTCAGAACACTTCCTGTGAAAACTTGTTATCCAAACTGGTTTTGATCAAGGAACAGTCGGTATTTTGCCATCTGGGCTAGATTTGGAATAACCAAGGCTTATAAAGCTCTTCACCCGCAAGAACTTTCGGCCATGTGCACACAAACCACACTTTCCACTACACAACACACTTACATTCGAAGTGTCAAGAACTAGGCGGATCATTCAAACTTTTTTCGTTCGGTGCATGCCACTTTACGTCGTCCGATAGAGATGAATTGGGTTTACCTGGCGCTCAGACTACAACGCAGAGTTAAGAGCTGATAACACGGACTGCTATGCACGCGCGTTGGGTTCAAAAGTTCCAAAGGCACTGCCTCTTCTGAAGTGATAAGGAACTCGTGCTCATGTCAACGAACTGCCTCGTTGATTGCAACCTTAATACTTCACGATAATGACTTCGAATCCCGCGATGCGACCCACTATGACAAGGGTAGTAAAACTTGCCTTACAATTGTAGCAAGGCAACTATTATCGTAAAGTGACCATGCCACTTTGGTAGCAAAACAGCAAAAAACCTTAACCATCATTTTCGCATCAGCTTCTGACGACGCAGGTACCCATAGATAATGGAACCTTACCAGTGCTGTGTGAGACTCTATTCTCTTCTCATCGCCCCACTCGCAAGAATCAGATGAGCCCCACTATGATGTGCTAGTCGCACAGTAATCGAGGTGATTCGAAATTTCAATCTTTGCTTGCCATGAAACTGTCAAGACATTTGTTAGCGGCAGACGTCTAGACATGACGGCTGTATCTTTGCATACCCCGGTATAGGCGATGATCGTCGCAATATGCATAATGCGACTGGGGTACACCGCAACATGCGAGTTGATTAATCAATATAGCTTGGTATGGTCCACGGCATAGACATGATGTGTGAGGATTGTTGAAATTGTTGTAGATTATTATTTCTAAGTAATGTAAACATCTAACGCGACCGACTTAGCTCTAGATATCGGAAGCGAGCAGAGGAGCTCGTTGCATTAGTGCTGCTGACGTCAGGCCGTGACAATAATCCGCAGCCAGCTTTGTCAGAGATTTGCGCCCGGACCAAGGAGCTGCATTTCTCGCACACCTCTCATTTTTCGTCTTTATCAGGCGGCAGGCATTTAATCTTACAAGAACACACTCGGGCTTCACTTTTAAACCCATTGGCCGCATTGCAGAACTCCGAATTTACGCAAAGAGCTGAGATCACCCCTCGCCCTCCACCACTTCCACGAATGCGCCGAGAAGCTAGCTCGGCCCTGTGTAAAGTCACTAGATTCCATTCCGGAGATCACGGCATGCCGGGTATTTATGTTAATAGTGTGCACCGCAGCGGCCGAATCCCTTTTTAGTAAGCTTTATAAGCAGTATGCTTGCTGGATTAAGCATACTTTTCAACACTGCAACTGCCCCATTTATTCACAATGTACCGGTACCGTTGCTCTTCTCTCAGCTAAATCCTCGCGATTCTACTGGAATCAAGCCAATCATCCACTAGGATTTAATTGGTTTCTCATGCAAGTCTCCTTATAACCTGTGCGATTCTGCAGAGCTGTGTTAAATCAGCGACGATCGTCGTCGCTCCGACCCTACGGCGATCGCTAGCAAAATGATGGCTAGATCCAGAATTAATAGCCAATGTGCGCCTATGTGATCAGACGATCGCCTAATCACACAAGCTCCTAGACTTTCCGGCTTGTTATCGTAATGGCGGTAGAATATGCTCAAGCTCAGCGTCTCACACACTTGGTACACTCGAAGCTGCGGCAACTATTCATAACTGCAGTTTCACATCTTTTGCCAATAAAACCAAAGTGCTTCTAGGTGAACTCGTAAGCATGTGCGGAATAAGGATTTAACATCTGGATTGACAAACATCTAAACGCATCAGCTACCAACTCGTCGTTTGTTCGCAGGGCGCAGGGGATCCGCCGTCACCCAACTGTGCAGTAAGCTCTAGGGCCGGCCAGGTCTTGCCAGATCTTGCCAGAATTCCCCAACCCACGTCGCCTGGGCACCACTTGTACCTTGAATACCCCTGTCGGTTACCGGTGCGAAATGTAGCATAAGGGTCTTGTACTAGCTTTGGTCTAGCCATCTCCGACCACTGTTACTATTCTTAGATTATATTACTAGCTGCTAAAGCCTTCTCTAGACGCCGTACAGCCTCGCGCATCGATCTAGACGATCTATGGTAAGTCGGTGGATAGCTCTAGAGTCAATGTGCCTTTGCCACCCACACCAAGAATTGTTTGCATGAAGACAACAGATATCTAATAAATTCTAAGCTTTCCATGAGTCTTACGGAAAAGCCTGTCTCCTACGGTAAGGTCTGGATAGCTAGGACTCATATCCTACTCGAGAAAGGAGACCGCTGGTTCAAATCCGGCAATACACAACCACTTTTCTCGCGGCACAGATATACACGGATGATGAAGGCATTCTTGGATAATCAAAGATTTTGAATTTCCCTTTCGTGGGTACTTACGGAGAAGGGTCGACTGTGTATGTAAGCGAACATACCTCATAGTGGTATTTGCAAATGAAATCCAGAGTATGAGTATCTCTAATATCAAGAGTCGTTTAACATGTATACATAGCACCGGTCATGTGTCGTAGCTAGATAGCCGAATATACATTAAATGATTTAAAAAAAAATTCACTCGCAAATCTACATTGATATTGTTTCTTTCGAGGAAGGGGTGATTAACCTGAATCTGACAGTGGGATCAATTGTTACAGAAAGCCATTCACTGTTAGAGCTTAACGGAAATGTATTTTTATCACCTGCAGGACCTCGGGTTTTACATGATGAGGAGCCAAAATCTGTGCGGCGTCATGCCCATTGGTGAGATCTGTTGGAGTTAGAACGGTTTCGGTGTACATCTCAAGATTTTGCTATCATAAACTCTATCGGTTGTCAATAATCCAAGTCTAGACCCACGTCATTACTTGCACCATATCTATGCACCCCAGGGCTAGATGGCTATATGCTATAGAAATAGATTAATATAATAATAAATCTACCACTTCCCCTACATATTCTCATTCAGTATTACTCAGTGTCTACGCATTTCCGCCCTGTCCTATACACCAGAGCCTATCATAATGACCCGACCTCGATAGTTTCCTAAAACTAGCTCGCACAAACCTCGGCAAATTTTATCCGATAGAACTTACGCTCTTCTATAATTTGCTTGATAAGCCTACGCATTATCGATTTAGAGTTTTGGAACGCGGCAAAATTTCAAAGGACGGGTAATCCTCTGTTGCTTTGATTTATCGTTAAATCTAACAACACTGATCAACTTTTGATTTCTCCGCACGTTGGAATTTAAAATCGAAACATATCTTACCTCACGTAATTATTGCGCATCTCGTAACAGTATGGTTTACGCTCAGGCAAATCAGGCGATAATTTGACCTATAACATATTCAAGATACTAATGGCTAGATCTCTCCGTGCCTTTACATAAGAGACGTTTGACTAAACACCATTCCACCATTCCTTGATAAGTCCATTAATTCAAATACACCAAGGTCATAATCCGAGACTTTCGTAAAATTGAAAATTATGCATGAACTTGAGGACCATCAGGAAGAGCAAATTTCAATGCACACCCTCGGCGAGGTCTTAGCAAATGAAAGATCTCAGGCGCACACGTCCATTCGCATATACCATACTCATCTGAATAAACATATAATCATGATTCGCAGTGGACGACTAGTTACTTGACAAATTGCTATTGATTAGGATTTCGAGTGGAAAAAAATACGCTGTAGAATATTGACTGTGTCGAGGACATTATCTATCAAAAGCCCTAGCAACAACCGCTTAATGTTTTTATCAGATTGGTAAATAACATGTTTTATGTTTGATGACTGTAGCTACTGACGGTGACAATAAATCATTAAAATGCAGTCTTGAGTGAGTGTTTATTGTTATTTTTATCTATGACTGTGAAAGGACATATAAAGTGTTATGTGGAATTTGTCATTTGAGCTCTCCACTAGTTCGCTCGGGGATTATTGCCATCTCCAGAAAATATATTCTTAGTGCCAAAGCATCCATGCACGATTTAGGCTGAATGCGGGAGACCGCATACTCGTTAAGGGAAGTTAATGTACACAACCACTTACTCATGGGCTAGTCCCTCAAAGTACTGTATCACAAGAGCTATTTTGATTTCACATTGAAGATAGAACTTAGCTCGAATTTTAGTGATCCAAACTAAATTCATGGTCGGGCACAAGTTGTATCCACACAAACAAGTTGGCGCGATGTGACATATTCCAGCCGAATTAAGCGTTAGTAATTGGGGAAAATAGTAAAGATAGACAGATTCTCGTTACACCCCACGGAAAAATAAAAACTAGATGATAGGTTGGAATGGCCTGTACCATATAGAAAGTAATGCTCCGATTAAACATTGCATCGCGTCATCCCACATTTTCGGCATCCATCATTAGCGGAAATATATTGTGTCATGCAACTAGACCTCGTGCATCATTGTATCCCAAAATCTTCGCCCTCGTGGATCGAACGAGCGAACATGCGCTGACATGCTGCTTCCCGAACGAGATCGTCTGGGCTCCACTAACATCGTAAGCTGCATACATCTCCCGTCCGTGGCTCCAGAGATCTGTATGAGAAGTCTTTGCATTCCAGCAAGCGCATTAATTAATCATCATGGCTCGTAGATTCTCCAGAGTTTTCCCCAGAATAGCTGTCAGAATAGTCTCGACCGGAGGGCGAACACAAACTGTCTGTCAGCAGAGTCCCTATAGACTTCTAGCGCTCACTGTAGACTCTACAGAGCTGAGATTGATTCATAACTTTTCAACTTTGAGCTGAGTTATCCTCCCCTTTGAAGTTCTCTTCCGACAACACATTTGACGGACAAGACGCTGATAACGATGTTTGGAGAGGGAAATGTTATCGCGGCACCCAAGGCTATAACCGGAGCCAGAAAAGCACTCATCTAAATCATATGATATCCACCGACAGACAAACAAAATCTCACGAAAGCAAAAATAAAAGAGTCCTCCGCCCTCGAGAAAAGTAGATTTCGACTGGTCAGCAAAAACACATCTCTGTATATTTATAATTCCTTCCATACTAACCAGGAGGGCATCCAGATTACATGAGTTACTCGTCAAGTTCACGTCTGTAGCGACTTTCGAATGCTAGGTTAGGCTTCTTCAAGGTAGTTACTCTCGACCCAGACTTTTCTTACATCCTTTCACGACCTTCGGTTTGTCTAGCGGTACGAATCAGGAGAGGATCGAAGGGAGGCTAGGAAGGTAGAAAGAAGATCTTGAGTATACACAGATCTGATGCTCCCGGCTGACCAGTCTCTTTGGACCCTTCATAAGGGTAACTATGTCTTCGGATTTAGTCTTGATGTCGGTATTAAAGAGCCCAAAACCTTTCATGTTTTGAGACTTTTCTCTGTAGCTTCACACCTGAAAATGTTCATCGTTCCGTTGGCTGGAGAGGGAAGATATTGACGTGATAATGGCTCCTCACAGCGTGCACTCATAGTAAGACCTGTGGGGGTATTACTACCGGAAGGAAGTGGCGAAGAAGGCATATAAGAGAGTAAAATACTCCAAGTAAAAATACTCCCGGCCTATAACCATAACGGACCTTCGTATCCTTCTTTATTCATAGATTTACTAGGACAATGAAAATTAAAAACAGGCTAATCACAAAATTACTATTTTAAGGACATGATATCACTCAATATCAAATTAATAGAGCCGTAGTCGTAGCGGTCACTCTAGAAGAAAACACTCAGTAAGGATATAGGACTGCAAGGTAATTATCTATAGGATAGATATCTGTGCAAAGTTTGTGAAGCTTTGGAAACGAAATTTAACATTTACTCCATGTAATAATTCCAGCCCTTGCAGGAGTCCAATACTGACTACGTTTTTGAGCTTCACTCTGGAGGAATTGAAGAGAAATTTTCACCCATGACCAAAATTTATCACTAAATAGCTTAATTTAAGGGTTTGAGTAGGGAAGGCGGTTGTGAAGAAGCGGATTGACGAGCTTTTAGTCTAAACCTTCCCTGCAGAGATTCCGCTACTGCACAAATGATGGAAATCAATCATATACACCCCAAATATGAACCGCAGATGCGATCAAATCTGTCTGATATTCAGGTTTCAAGCAATTTACCCTTTTTACAGTCTTCATTTTCTGGGATAACTTTCTCAGCTAATCCCATCTCTCGACCCTCTCCATGATCATCATACCACCAACCAAATCATTCTAGAAATAAAAAGTCACAACACAAAGGACAAGGAGACATCCGTTTCTTCGCAACTGTCGCGAACTTAGGGTAAGATCCAAGTGCTAGCCTTATATTTGCATGTACCTCGGCCCGGCGCACCATCAAATCGACTTGAAGCAAATCACCACGGACGAAATACGAACGACATTTCGCCAGTATATCAGCTAGAGAATTCAAAAAATGTCAAAAAATCGTT